CAGTGGGGAACCATGGGGACCTATCTTATGCAATAGCTCATCTCGGGGAAGAGGAATGGATCTGTCTCTGAGGAATTACCCATGTTTCTATTCCACAGAGGAAACAGTGTCTAAGGAAGCCTTCTGGTTTTCCAGTATTTGTTTTTAAGGCCAACAAAATTCTCTATTTTTATGACCCACAGGACAGACTATGACCTGTGCCCTTAAACCTGTGTCTTCAGAATGTTTCAGAAAACTTGCACCTTAAATGTAAGGACAGATTCTACTCTTTCACTAAGGACATTTTTATACTTTTTTCACACAAGCCAATACCTCTCGTAAGAAATGCAACTTCAAAAAATGAACAGAAACATGAAGTAAAAATATTATTGACCAGTTTTGCCAGATGAAAAAAAAATCTAGAGACCTTTTGATTATCATTGTGCATACAATTAACACTACTGCATTGGATACTTGAAAATGGTTAAGATGGTAAATTATGCATTATGTGTTTTAAAAAAGAAGTCTCAGCAAAAGAAAAACAACGTATACTAGAGCACGGAGCAGGATTCCTTTGCTCAGGAAAAGTCACCTTAAAGGCCCCTCTTAGTTATGTGAATGTAGCTTCACACAAGACATGGAGATCGCTTGGCAGAGCCAGTCATTAACATCAGCGCTCACCACCACTTCTGCCCCACTTAGACTGAGTCTCAGGTTTCTTGGACAATTGGAGATAAGTGAGGCAGTGGCAGCAGATACAGATCATCTTGCAGAACCAAGCAAAGTACATTAAAATGTAAAAGTGAAAAACAAAAGGTATCACTGATCTCATTCAAATGGCCTCCATATTGTGAAGAATTGGGGTGAAATCAGGAAAACAGCCAAATAGAAAAACCTGTCACATTTAAGGAAACCACCTATTAATTTCAAGTAGTTACATGTTTCCTTTGTAGATGCATAGACTCATTAAGTATAATTCCAAAACACAGAAACTGCACTGGTAAAGTGGTTTAATCCGGCTTTTCAACTTTTCATTCATTCAGATCCCTCAAGTTCACAAAAGGCTTTCTTAGACCGAAGTGAGACCAAGGAATTCATTCTAGTGAAGTGCGCTGCAGAGATTGAAATAGAAGGAAGAAATTTTCAGGACTCTCCTGCTAGACTCACAGTTTTAGAGTAAGACTGGGCTCAAAGAGGTGAAGTGACATGCCTGAGACTGCACGAGTCAGGGCCGGCCAGCTGTCAGTCCTAAGTCCCCAGACGCTCAGCCACAGCCTCCTGGCGACACCTTCATGCCCAGTCTATACAGGGCTACACGGTGTCTTCCCTTTTGCTTATGTTAGGGTGCAGGCTAAGCCACCCTGAAATGTGCCTCGGCTGCACACTGATTATTCTGAATTAAAGTTATTTAAGAAATGACCAGTGCAAGAGGGACACCCTGACCTTCCTTTCTGTCTCCCTGAAAGCAGGAAATAAATCGCCCACATGAAAGGTGCCCTCCCTGCACCTGGAGGAAGAAGGACACCTCATTGCCAGAGCTGGGGTATTGGGGACTATACAAACCAACCTTGTTACTTATTTAATTTACCACCCTAA